TCCCTCTGCTCTCTTTATAACCTCTGACATAAGCATTGCATATTCTTGAAAAAACCCCGAACGACAAAAACACCCAGACAACCTTGGAAGATTCAGGCAAGCATCTGATGGATATCTGGAGGGACTGAGGCTGATCGGAGTGGGTTATCAGTCCTCTGGGCAAGGGTTTTATTTACCATGTTTGTCCCTTTGGCTAACTGTGTGCCAGATGCAGTTACTGTGCGGAGGAAAAAGAAAGACCAAACCCTGCGAGGTTGCAGGGCCAGCACAGCCCTCACCCAGCTGCCAGAGCTCCTTCCCCTGCCCAGCGGGGTCTTTTCTGGGGAGATTGTTTTATTTCAGCTTTACTGAGCACTTGGAGACATGTGTTCAGTGAAAAATTGCCCTGAGTCCTTCACTTGGAAGTTTGGGGGGGTTATTGTTTTAACAGTTCTCTCCGTGTTTTCCTCCCGGTATGTTTCTGCTGTACGTTTTCCTCCTAGAGCAAAAGGGACCGCATGAAGGCTTGGGTACAGGCACGTCTCCCCACCTGCTGCAAAGAAAGAGACTCCTGGTCCATCTACGTCTTCGCCCCTCACTCAAGGTAAAGCAGCTGTGCTCGAGCAGTGGCGGCGTGCTGGGCACGGGTGCCCTCGTTGCGATGGCTCGCTCTGCCCGTCTATCCCAGATGGGTCTCTCTGTGTCAGTCCACAAAACTCCCAGCTCTTCCCCTGCTCCAGTACTACACCAGGGTCATGCAGCAAAGGGCCTCCAGCTGCAGAGAGCCGCTCCCGGGCGGGCATGGCCCTGGCATAGAAGTGTCCAGCAGAGACCCGTAGGCCAGGGCATAGCTACGGCTTTATCAAGTTCATCGTTTGCTTTGTCAGTGATGCCAGTGGCTCTGCAAGTTTTTCACTTGACGGAGTGTGGGGAGTTTGAAGCAAGGGGAAGGGTGCTGCATTAAGCAGATAAGTCTGAATTTGCCCCCAGTGCACATTTACAACACAGCAAAGGACACTCCTTGACCTCCTAAACCTGCCTGGACTTCTCTGTCCTCCCCCTTCCCTTCCTCCCTCTCCCAGCAACCCCCAGAAAACACCCTCTCCTTGCCGGCAGACCCCCAGCTCTGCCATTCTCAAAGCCCAGCTGCGCCGGGGCCATCTGGGCTCCGTGCTCTCCTGCGTGTTCCTCTGGACGTGCACCCATGCTGAATGAGGGTTCCCCGTGTTTGAGCTGGTGGGCCCTGGGTAGCGTTTGAGTTCATTCATACAAAGATTAGAGAGATTTTCAGAAACAGACTTTGGGAAATGTAATACGGTATTATAAATCCTGGGTCAGCGTACAGCCATCTGTCACAATAAATAGCTTCTGTCCCTTTGTTCCATGTGCGCTCAACCCTTACAGGATTGCTGGGAGTATTTCTTCCTTTATTTAAGCTAAACCTGAGCACTACGGACCAGGTAGGGGGTTGGATCCAAACCCGGCCGCGTGTCCAAGTTGTGGAAGCAGCTGCTCCATTTCAAGTGACCCAAAGCCCCCTACGAACATTACCAGGGCTTGAAATTTGTGGCCCAATTCTGTAGCTCGGATTCTTTTCTATTCATACCCCGATCTGCCTGCAGCGTGCAGCTCTGCCAAGGAGGGGATTGGGAGATTGCAGCTCATCTGCTTTGCAAACGGAGCGCTCGATTCCCCTGCCATGCGTCGAGCTGCTGCATTTCTCCCCAACCAGTCGAGCGTTAATAGCTAGTCTGTGTCTCCTCTTTTTTTTTTTTTCTTCTTTTTTGGCAGATTCCGTCTGATGTGCAATAAAATCATCACGCACAAGATGTTTGATCATATCGTCTTGGTGATCATTTTCCTGAACTGCATTACTATTGCCATGGAGCGACCCAAAATCGAGCCTCACAGTGCTGTGAGTTTCCGAGGTTAACGTTTTCCTGTGCTCCTCGTGGAGCCAACACCCGTGGCTTGGACCCCGCTGCTGTGCACTTGGTCTCGCTTTCTTTCTCTTTTTCAAATGGCAAGCTGCCAACACACCCTGCATATCCTTTGAATTGGGTACAGCAACTCTCCTGGTCCCTACCCAGCGTCCTTTCAAAGTACCTGAGCAGAGCTCATGGCCTGCAATATATCGAATATCCCATTTCTGCAAGTACGGTCAAGGTTTTAGCACATGACATAAGCATGACATCTGTCTCCGTTTCCTTCTCTGATAAACCTTCAAACACTTCTCCTCGCTCAACACAATATTCGTTTCTTCCATCTGTTCTTCACGGGCACGTATGTGTGGTGCGAAGAGAATGGGGGAACTGTTCATTTCATATTCTTCTCCCCGCCTTTGTGTATCAGCTTTGTTGTGGCACAAGAAAAACTGAATTGATACACGCACGGTAATGCCATTTCCCCAAACCATTTTGTTTCAATAGACTACGTAAGGATTTCTCAAACCAGACCCTCACAGCACCAACATCCATCAATCAGAGGGGCAGAATCATCCTATTGCTCTTTTATCTTAGCATAGATTGTGGCTGAGAGATACGCTGGGCTCTTGCTGATTTATTGCAAAAGACTGCTCATATCACAATTGTATAGAATCCTATTTTGTTGATGTAGGCGTGTCAGGCTGTTCATTTTTGTGGCTCTTCAATGCAAGACCTTAAAACTGGAGTCTTGGCTGCTCTGTGCCTATTTTAAGCTTTCCCTAGTAGTTCTCCTTACTGTAATAGTTTGCCCAGCGGTCCCTCCCCTAAATCCATTTTTTTTCTTTTGGTTATCATGCAGTCATGGTGCACCAACTCGCAGCTGCGAGAAGAGAGCAGGACTCCCTGCCAGCTGCTCTAGCAGGAGGAAATCACCCTCCTGTTCCCCATGGGGCACCCTGAGAATGTCCCTTGAAATCCCAAATGCTTCTTTGGAGCCCCTTGCTGTTTCCTCTAAGAGTCACCACTCACCAAGGCTGGCTCCGAAAGGAACTGTAGTTACACAGAGTTGAAGGGAATGGGGTGACATGCATGAGTCAGAGGAGTCCACAGCAAAGAGCTGTAGTACGAAAACCCAGGATTTCGTATATAAGAGGAGGAGGAGGATGAGCTGTGGTGTCCCTGGGCATTGGAAGAGTGCAGAGAGGAAAGGAGACAGGGGCCGGTGTGAGGTTCATCAGCATCAGGTTATAACCAAGGAAACCAAAATGGGTCATTCAGGGCTGGAGCTGAGCCGGACCACGGTCTGGGAGCAGCGAGGAGGAGAAGGGGGATGCTGAGCAGTGGGGCAGGGAGCAGGGGAGCCAGGAGGAGTGTGCGGGCCCTGCCTGTGCTGATGGAGCTCTCATTTGGAAACCAAGAGAGTTAGTTTAGCTTGAGTTCTTCAAAATAGTTGTACTTTGCTTCCCCGAGCTGTGGATTTTCTAGCTGCTTTTTTTTATTGTCTAGCTGCTTCAAGCGGGTTCTCTTGCCCTGTCCCAGTTTCAGCTGGCTTATCGGAACAGGGGATGCTGTTGCTAGCCAACACGCACTCCCCATTGCAGAGTGCGCGACATGGGCCGGGGAGATTATCCTTCAAAATAGCCACACGCTTGCCAGAGAGGAATGTAATATCCTCGGTCTCTCCTCCATGCTATTGCTGTTTTATCTCCAGCTCCACAAGCAGGTCCCTACCCTCTTTCTCCTGCACACTGCCTACCCCTCTACAGCCGTCTTTTGTGTGGCAGTCAGCTAACGGCTGGAGATGTTTCCTATCACAGCTCACGCAATCACAGTGCACCGTCTAGGAGCTAATTAATTATGGACCCAGTATGGAAACAAGCTACTCTGTGGTTCCTGAGTCACTTTCAGTAAATCATGATCTGGCAAGCGAGAGAGTTGCCAAGGTGTTTTGTCTTGTTTAAATTGCATCTCATTTTGAGCGAGAGATCTGCATCTCTTACAGGCTTGCTCTGTAGGGACTGGCAGAAATAAATCCAAAATTGTTATTAGCAGAACTGGGGCTGGTTCAGTTGTATGCGTACATGCATACATGCACACGCATCATCTTTCCTCCAGCCTCTGCCTTCTGCTGTCCATTTCTCAGTACAGGCAATCAGAGATTGTTCAGGGATTAGGGAAAGTGTAATTTATTTAATGATCATCATTAAAAAGAAAGGTTTCTGCTAACTACAGATAGGGAACCAGTCCATGGTCTCATCTGTAATCACTTGCTGCTATTGCAGAACGGTGGCAGTGAGGACTGCATGGTCTGGTGGATAGCGCAGGGGACTGGGAGATGAGACTATTGGGCTTCACGCCCAAAGCCTGTGGCTTTGGACAAGTGGATCAACCTTTTGGGGGCAGCTCTCAGCTGGCGTAAACCCCCAGAGCTTCGCCGGCTTCGGTGGAGCTGTGACAACTCATGCCAGCTGCGCTTCGGCGTCCCATGGGTCCCGCTTGCCTTGCGGCACAGCCACTCCGATATTGACTTGATTTCTGGGAGGATTGGGAGCTCAGTGATATTTGCACTGTGCGGTGAGGTCCGCAGGTGAGGGGCAGGCAGAGGTTTGTCAAGCATGCTCCAAAGGGGGGGAG